GTCCGCAGACCGGAAGGTGATTGGGCCGGATCTGGCTCCTGTGCCTTAGTTTGCCTACCCATGGAGTAGACTATAATGGGCTAAATGGACCAATGGTCTTGCCTAATACAGTGGTACCTTGGGTTACAGACGCTTCAGGTTACAGACTCCTCTAACCTAGAAATAGTACTTCGGGTTAAGAACTTTGCTTCAGGATGAGAACAGAAATCGTGTGGTGGCAGCGGGAGGCCCCATTAGCTAAAGTGGTACCTCAGGTTAAGGTTAAGAATGGACCTCCAGAACAGGTTAAGAACGGTTAACTTCAGGTTAAGACTTCAGGTTGAAACTTCTGGTTAAGAACGGACCTCCAGAACAAATTAAGTTCTTAACCCGAGGTACCACTGTACAAGGCAACTAGCTTCCTATGTGATTTACTTCCAGGTGTCTGTCCACAGCATTCCAACCTCAAGTCCATCACCCAATTCCTGACCCTGGCTAGACAAAATACATGATGGATAAAAACACCCCATTGTTTATTCCCGGCATCTGCTCCCTAGCCGGGAAAAGAGCCCTCTGATATTGGAATCCTGCCCTGAAGCCCCAGAAACGAGAACTGAGTTCAGTCCATTGAGATTGGCTTGAACTTGGTGATGAAGTCCATTCTTCCAATCGGTATTGCCAGTTCAACACATGGAAATGGCTGTGACTTGAAAACAACAACACCACAACAACAACACCACGGGCTCATGGTCAGGGCAACGCACAACAAGCGTGGTGAAATGCTTAAAAAAAAATATTGGTGGTGGTGGGACATGGGGACTACTCAGTATGTAGAAGAGTTTGGATTTGATATCCCGTTTTATCACTACCCGAAGGAGTCTCAAAGCGGCTAACAATCTCCTTTCCCTTCCTCCCCCACAACAAACACTCTGTGAGGTGAGTGGGGCTGAGAGACTTCAGAGAAGTGTGACTGGCCCAAGGTCACCCAGCAGCTGCAGGTGGAGGATTGGAGACGCGAACCTGGTTCATCAGATTACGAGTCCACCGCTCTTCACCACTACACCACACTGACTCTTAGTCTATGTGTAGTCTATGTGTGAGAGAAGGAAACTCTGTACATGCTCAGACGGGGCCCTGACGCTGGGACCGACTTCCATATTGGAGGTGTTTGTAGTCGAAAATTCTTCAGAAAAATTAAACAAACTCCAAGTTCTTTCAGGCTTCCTTTGAGAGAGGAGGCGGTTAGAGTTAAGAGGAAAAAAAGAGAATCAAAAGGAGGAGGATTCCTGAAATAACTCCTTGGTTTCCATTCTTAGCAAGATCTACCAAACATAGGAAGCTGCCGTATACAGAGCTCAATTGTTGTCTACACTGACTGGCAGTGGCTATCGAGGGTTTCAGACAGGATTCTCTCCCAGCCCTGCCTAGAGATGCCAGGGATATAATAATAATAATAATAATAATAATAATAATAATAATAATAATTTATTTATTTACACCCCGCCCATCTGGCTGGGTCCCCCCAGCCACTCTGGGCGGCTTCCAACAAAACACTAAAATACAATAACCTATTAAACATTAAAAGCTTCCCTAAACAGGGCTGCCTTTAGATGTCTTCTAAAAGTTTGGTAGTTATTTTTCTCTTTGACATCTGGTGGGAGGGCGTTCCACAGGGCGGGCGCCACTACCGAGAAGGCCCACTGCCTGGTTCCCTGTAACTTGGCTTCTCGCAGTGAGGGAACCGCCAGAAGGCCCTCAGTGCTGGACCTCAGTGTCTGGGTAGAAAGATGGGGGTGGAGATGCTGCTTCAGGTACAGTGGTACCCCGCAAGACGAATGCCTCGCAAGACGGAAAACCCGCAAGACGAAAGGGTTTTCTGTTTCGGAGGCGCTTCGCAAGACGAATTTCCCTATGGCTTGCTTCGCAAGACGAAAGCCCATAGGGAAATCTCCGGGGACCTGTTTTAAATTGCTGGCGGTCGGGAGCAAAGACTTTCGCCCACAGCCGGCCTTCAAAAGAGGTCCTGGACCTCTTCTGAAGGCCGGCGGGGGGCAAAAGTCTTTGCTCCCCCCCCCCGCCTGCCTTCCCGGGACAGCGGAGGACTTCTCCGCTGCCCGGGCGATCTTAAAATGCTGGCGGGCAGGAGCGAAGCGTTCGCTGCCGACCCCCAGCATTTTAAAATCTCCCCGGGACAGCAAAGAAGTCCCGCCCCGCTCCAGATGGCCGCGCAAAGCTGCCTGCAGTCGCGGGACTGCAGGCAGATCTGCGCCACCATCCCGAGCGGGGCGCTAAGTCCCGCCCCGCTCGGGATGGCGGCGCAGAGCTGTCTGCCGTCCCGGGATCAGCGCAGCTCTGCGCGGCCATCGGGAGCCGGGGGCGAAGCCCGCCCCGCTCCAGATGGCCGCGCAAAGCTGCCTGCAGTCGCGGGATTGCAGGCAGATCTGCGCCACCATCCCGAGCGGGGTGCTAAGTCCCGCCCCGCTCGGGATGGCGGCGCAGAGCTGTCTGCCGTCCCGGGATCAGCGCAGCTCTGCGCGGCCATCGGGAGCCGGGGGCGAAGCCCGCCCCGCTCCAGATGGCCGCGCAAAGCTGTCTGCCGTCCCGGGACGGCAGGCAGATCTGTGCCGCCATCCCGAGCGGGGCGCTAAGTCCCGCCCCGCTCTGGATGCCAGCGCAGAGCTGTCTGCCGTCCCGGGACTGCAGGCAGATCTGTGCCGCCATCCCGAGCGGGGCGCTAAGTCGCTCGGGATGGCGGCACAGATCTGCCTGCCGTCCCGGGATAAGCGAAGCGTTCGCTGCCGACCCCCAGCATTTTAAAATCTCCCCGTGTCCCGGTGAGATTTTAAAATGCTGGGGGTCGGCAGCGAAGCCCTTGTTCCCCCCCAGCCCCCCCCAGCCTTCAGAAGCCCTTGTTCCCCCCCCCCAGCCTTCAGAAGAGGTCGGGGGAGAGACTGTCCCCGGACCTGGTCTGAAGGCGGTTTCCCTTGGAACGCATTAATTGATTTTCAATGCATTCCTATGGGAAACCGTGCATCGCAAGACGAAAAACTCGCAAGAAGAAAAAACTTCGTCTTGCGAGGCACCACTGTATACTGGACCAAGGCCGTTACACACTTGTGCTACAAACTTTCGTAAGAACATAGAGTATGCTGGATCAGACCAAAGACTCATCTAAGTCCATCATCCTGTTCCCACAGTAGCCAAACAATTGCCCGTGCCCCCCCCTAAAAAAGGGTCGACAACTTTGACCTGAACCCCCCCCCAAAAAAAAACTGCTCACTGTCAGTTTTTCATTCTGAGTAGATCACTGTCTCTTGGGAGTTGAACGTCCCTGCTTTAGAGTAATGAGATAGCTCAGTCGGTAGAGCAAGAGACTCTTAAATTTCCAGGTTGTCGGGGGGGGGGTGTTGGACCAAGATGACCCTTGTGGTCCCTTCCAACTCTACAATTATATGATTCTAATGATTCACAGCGCAGGTGGCGCTGTGGTCTAAACCACAGAGCCTAGGGCTTGCTGATCAGAGGTTCGATGGTTCGAATCCCCGTTACGGGGTGAGCTCCCGTTGCTCGGTCCTTGCTTCTGCCTACCTAGCAGTTCAAAAGCACGAAGTGCAAGTAGATAAATAGGTACTGCTCCAGCGGGAAAGTAAATGGCGTTTCCATGTGCTGCTCTGGTTTGCCAGAAGCGGCTTAGTCATGCTGGCCACATGACCTGGAAAAACTGTCTGCGGACAAACACCGGCTCCTTCGGCCAGTAAAGCGAGATGAGTGCTGCAACCCGAGAGTCGTCCGTGACAGGACCTAACGGTCAGGGGTTCCTTTTAATATGCTTTAGGGGCTATATCAACAACATAAAGGCCTAGACTAGGGTGGTCTGACATGTGGTCCGTGGGCTGCATGCAGCCCTTGAGGCATTTTTGGTGGCCCTCAGCAACATTACACACACACACACACACACACAAAAACACATAGTTCAGCCATCAAAGCCATGTAAGCAAGGTGCTAGGCTTTGGGGAGCAAGAGTGAGGGGTCTGGCAGAGTCCTAGAGTCCTCCTTTCTCCTTCCCAAAGCCTAGTTGTTGCTTTCCCAGCTTTGGGAAGGAGATGGGATGACTCTTATGACCCCGCCAGAGCCTCCTTCCCAAAGCCCTGCCTCGCTTAGCAGGCTTTGGGAGAGCAACATGAGGGCTGCGGGGGCACCAGATTTTGGCCTCACTCCCCACCCACCAGTGTGACAAGGTAGTGTGCAGCCTGTGGGTTATGTGTCGAAGTACGTTTGTGGCCCACTTGGTATGAAATTTAGACCTGCCCTGGCCTAGACTGAAGGTCAGCTGATTTCCCCCCACTTAGGTTTACTGTTGTAGACTTGACCCCAGTACCTCTGCATCTTGTACAGTGGTACCTCTGTTTACGTACTTAATTCGTTCCCGAGGTCTGTTCTTAACCTGAAACTGTTCTTAACCTGAAGCACCACTTTAGCTAATGGGGCCTCCCGCTGCTGCGCGATTTCTGTTCTCATCCTGAAGCAAAGTTCTTAACCCAAGGTACTATTTCTGGGTTAGCGGAGTCTGTAACCTGAAGCGTATGTAACCTGAAGCATATGTAACCCGAGGTACCACTGTACTGCAATATAGACAAGGGCGGCTTAAAAGCACCTTAAATTATATATCATAACACTAGAGCTGAGCCCCACTGTAGGGATGGGCTCTTCTGCTCTTTACTGGGAGGTGAGAAAGAGAGAGATTGAGGAAACCTCAGCACCGCAAAACAGAATGGAGTCTTCCAAGCCGCTGGCCCCACAGGAGGCTGCCTTATATGCCGCCTCCCTCAGAATGGCTATGACATTACGCTGAGTTGGCTAGTGCGCGCCCAGACACCGGTCTCCTGCTCCACAGCCCACGTGCCCGCCGCCCGGCTCCGGGTTCCAATCCCCCCGGCGCATGCGTAGCCGTCCGCTCAGCTCCTCCCTTGACCTGCTTGCCTGGGCGCATGTGCGCTGCGATCCCTTTTCCTCCTCCTCCTCCTCCTCCCCCTCCCCTTTTTAGGAAGCTGCCTGGGCGCTTCCTTCTCTCTACCTGATTTCCTCCCGCTCTGCCCTCCCCTCGCGCTCGCGCCACCGGGCTCGTGCGCGCGCGCGCGGGCAAGCTCCGGCCGGGCAAGTAAGCAAGCAAGCAGGCGGGCGGGCGGGCAGGCAGGCAAGGCAGGCAGGCAGGCGAGGAGGGAGGGAGGGAGGGAGGCGAGCAGGCGACCGAGTAGGAGCAACGACCCAGCCGGCGCCGCCGCAGCCAAGATGGAGTCGCGGCTGGCGCGGCTGGCGCTGCAGGGAGCGAGCGGGCGCGCCTAGGGCTCCCTCCCTGCCTGCCTGCCGCAGCCTCGCGAGCCCTTCCTGCCGCCCCATGGCCTGGCCTCCCTCCGGCGCCCCCTCGGGTCTCCCCTCGGCGGGGCTCCCGGGGCCACTCCGCCTCGGCCAGTGAGGTGGTGCTGCTGCTGCTGCTGGTGCCGCCGTCCGCGCGCGCGCGCCGGTGCGCCCCTCTCCTCCTCCTCCTCTTCCTCCTCATCGTCCCCGCGTGTCGCCGCCGCCGGGGCCCCGCGCTCTGAGCCTCCCGGCCGCAGGATGCTGCCGTCGCAGGAGGCCTCGAAGCTGTACCATGACAACTACATGCGGAAACTCGCGGGCCATCGGCGTGCTGTGGGCCATCTTCACCATCTGCTTCGCCATCATCAACGTGGTGGTCTTCATCCAGCCCTACTGGATCGGCGACAGCGTCAGCACGCCCAAGCCGGGCTACTTCGGCCTCTTCCACTACTGCGTGGGCAACGAGGGCAACAACCGCGAGCTCACCTGCCACGGCTCCTTCGCCGACTTCCGCAGCATCCCCTCGCGCGCCTTCAAGGCCGCCTCCTTCTTCGTGCTGCTCTCCATGGTGCTGATCCTGGGCTGCATCACCTGCTTCTCGCTCTTCTTCTTCTGCAACACGGCCACGGTCTACAAGATCTGCGCCTGGATGCAGCTGCTGGCAGGTAAGGGGGGGAGCGGGGCCTCGGGGGACCCCTCCCCACCCATACACAACTGTCTCTCTGCCCCCACGCACTTACCCCTCCCCAAAGGACCTTCCTCGCCCCACACGCAAGCCAACCCAAATTTCAAAGGAGGGAGGGGAAAGTGTCGAGATGGGGAAGAGTGGGGCGCTTGCCCCCCAACTAGGATGGAACAGTGGGCAGAATTGGGATAACCAGAAGTTTGGGTGACCGGGTCGTTTTGCTAAATGGGGCTGAATCTGATTTTAAGTGGGCTGCATGGGAGGAAGACACACAGTGAGTTAGGCTATTTTGGAACAATTAGTTGTTGCAGTCTTGTGCCGTAAAGGGATACCCATTTTCCCGGGGCAGGATGAGGCCAACAGAACCAGGCTTGACAGCTCCTTTACACTGGGATCAACATAACAGATGCCTCTCTGAAGGTTTGATGAGACCCACTTTAAGCCAATGTGGTGACCTCCACACATTTTGGGACTCCCATCAGCCCCAGTCAGCATGGCCGTTGGGTCAGGCGTGAGTGAGAGTTGTAGTCCAACAACATTTGCAGGGTGCCATATTGGAATGGAAACTCTAGGGCCTAGAAAGACTTGCTAGCCTAGACAGGCTCCAGAGTGCCCTGGTAAGTACTGGAACATAAGTGTTTCACTAAGCTTGTGGAATGTCTCTGGCTCTTGTGAGGTTGGGTGTATGTGTGTGTGTGTGTATACACACCACAGTATGTATAGTAACCTGCCTGTCGGTGCTTCTCAACAAAGTGTGATATGTGAATTTTGATGTAATTTCCTCTGGGGTTAGGCTGAAATAAAGGACAACGCTCTGACATGCCTTTCCCTTTTCTCAGCGTTCAGATAAATTACTGGGAGCTCTTTTAAAGCTTAAACAGGAAATTCCTTCATCTTTAATTTTAAATGTATCCAAAGATGTATTGATTTAAAACCAGCTCAGAGACTAAATCCTCGCCACAGGGAGCTGGAAAAATAATCCTGAGGATTGGTCAAGCATCTTGCTGCCTCTGTGGCTCTGTCCAGGGTGCTGAAGGAGGAACTGACTGCACTGTGCAGAATGTTGTTCGTTTGGTTGCAATGGCCAGGAAGGCTAGGAGACCAGGATCATAACCAAAAGGCACGGGCCCAGATTTCTGGACTTTAGGTCAGATAATGCAGACCTGGAGACAGGTGTCAATGAACATGTAAGGACTGATTGAGTAGGATCTGAAAGTCACTATCCTGAATTAAGGGGGGATCTCGGCAGGTGTATAACAAAAAGGGTCAAGAAGGGTGGACATCTCTTTTACAAATAGGTGCAAGAAGGCTGCCCCCTCCATTGTAAAAGCATTTTAAAGCTTAAGCTCTGGACTAAGTTGCAGGGGCCAGCCTAAGGATGGAAGACCTGAATTTTAAATGAGCCAAGATGCCTAGCTCAGCACTGAAGGAAGAGGTGATGAGTGAATGTCTGATTAGCAGGAAGGATGTCTGTCTAAAAAGTGCAACTAGGCCTGGTTGTGCCAGTAATAATGTTGTTGTTTTTTGTTTGTTTGTTAAGGATGGGAGTGGGGGGCAAAGGTGGTCAGGGTGCCTCTTCCTCGTGATAGACCACATTTTAAATGATGGGGGTCAGGATATGCTGTAGCCTCCCCAGCAAAGCACAGAGATCCCAGCAAAGTTTCAATTGCACTGCTATGAAGGAGGTGTAGGTCAGAGAAGCAAAGGTGGTTATGGGTCAATCAGGTGGGCTACTAGAGACCCACAGAGGTCTATACAACCCACCCTCTGCTCTGCTTCAGGCTTTCCCAACCCAATTCCCCCTCTCTGGATATTGCTGGACTACAACTCCCATAATCCCTGACCACTTGCCTTTCTGGCTGGGGCTGATGGGAGATGTAGTCCACAACATCTGGAGGGCACCATGTTGGAGAAGACTCCTCAATTTGTACACAGGTGGGGAAGCAATTGAGCAGCTGCCTTTCCCTCTGCACTAGATATGGCCGGGGGGGGGGGACAATGTTTGAAGGTATGGCATTATTATGTTTAGATGTTTTTAATGTATTTATCTTGATATTTTATTTAATGAGCTGGTGGTTCATAAATATTCTTATAAGTATAAATAAATAAAAGTATCTAAGGGTATTGATGGAACATATCCACCACTTCCATGGATATCAAAGGCTCTAGAACATTGTCCCTCCCTGTCTCCTCCCTTGGCTGCTGTTTTGTATAGCTCAGATATGGGGGAAGCTCTGTGGCCCTCCAGATGTTTTCGGACTACAACTCCCATCAGGCCTGACCACTGGCTGTGCTGTCTGGGGCTAACAGGGGATTGGAAGTCAGCAGCATCTGGAGGACTGTCCACGTTCTCCATCCCTGATGTAGCGAAAAGCCCACAATGCAGTTCCTGCAAACCCTTCTTAAGGCAATATCACCATTGTCCTGCACTGTCGTGGGTCGGACTAGATGACACTCTGCTATTCTGTGACCATGCAATGAGAGGCTTGGTCTGGCAATGAGACTGGAGGCCCCGAGAAGAGAGGTGACCCCAGGTTGGTGCTCTCAACATGGCATACCTAGATGCCTTGTCCTTGGTGGGCAGGAAAGGGTTACAGCCCGGCCAAGTTTCCAGATAAGGGCATTCCACTCCCAAGCAGCACTTGGCATAGCAGATCATATGTAACCCTTCCCCACCTCCATGGATCCTTGCCAGATTCCTTCAGTAGATTCTACCCACAAACCAACAGCACCGTTCCCTAGCCATTGTAGTGGAGAGTCAAGAATAAGACACTACTGAGTGGAAACTGCTTGATTCAGCTGCCAAAGAATTAGCAGAGCACAGAAGGAGCAGAAGAGGCTGTAGCTTGGAGATCCACTGAGGTGGTGTAAGGATGGCAGTGGCAGGAGTGGAATTTTCAGCAGATAAAAGCTGTTTTCGGCCCATTAGCTGTCTTGTTCTAACTAATTGATGGACTAATGAGCCAGTGGTGGTTCATAAAACAGTTTTACAACGGAGGCTTTATTTATCAGAGGTAGCATTTTCTCTTGGCTAGGTAACACAGTCGATTTATTTATTTATTTGTGTATTGAAAGGTGGCGGGATGTTCTCTTGAGCACACCCAAGTGCCTTAATCTGAACTGGGAAATGCCCGAGCCCAGATGGTTTGCAATAATGCCAGAGGCTCCAAACAACCGTTTCACAAAGCTCTGTTCTCTTTACAATGAATTAGTCAACTAAACAGGGCTGATTTAATTGATTTATCAGTTCACCATCTAGCTAAATCAGGAAGCAAGCACAGCCCGAGCATGGTGGTGCTTGAGAATTTGTGTAGCCCATTCAAGCTGATGCATAAATGGAGACACGGCTGGGGCAGGGTAATCTGGCTGTGGAAATGACCACACAAAGCACAAACATCAGCGCACATTAGGTTAAGGAATGGGACAGATCAAGTTGGTGGACAGCGGAGACAAAATGTTGATCCTTTTCGAATTCTGCACCAATTATATGCATTCCAGTATAAGGCTGCCCAGGTGTCATAAACAAAGTAATATACAGTGTTACCTCGGGTTAAGTACTTAATTCCTTCCGGAGGTCTGTACTTAACCTGAAACTGTTCTTAACCTGAAGCACCACTTTAGCTAATGGGGCCTCCTGCTGCTGCTGCGCCACCAGAGCGCAATTTCTGTTCTCATCCTGAAGCAAAGTTCTTAACCTGAAGCACTATTTCTGGGTTAGCGGAGTCTGTAACCTGAAGCGTATGTAACCTGAGGCACCACTTTATGTGGGTGAACCTGCAAGAATAACTGGTTTGTTGTCAAAAAATAAAGTTTTCCCCAAAATAAAGTTAACTATTCCCCCCCCAAACCGCCCCCTGCCCTCTGGTTACCCAGGGGGGAAATGGACAGATGGGGTTGAAGATTTCGCCTGCCCGACCGCTTGCTTTATTCTAAAAGCAGACCTTCAAGAAAAGTGGCTCACCAGAGTGTTGTGTTTATTTTTATTCTGAGGTCAGTATTTGAGAAACTACAGAAACTGGAATGATTCCTCCACCCACCCACCCCATCCAACAAATAATAGGAGGAGAGGTATACAGGCAACTGCCCATTTACACATGTTCAATATGTGCACAACTTGTACATGTGCATCACACTAAGCCCGGAAGTGAAATTTAAAAATTGCCAGAACATCCCCAGAAGGGCACAGAAAAGTCTGAAAAGGCATGAAAACAGCGCCTAGCAATCCCATAGCCCAGGGGTCAGCAACCTTTTTCAGCCGTGGGCCGGTCCACCGTCTCTCAGACCATGTGGTGGGCCGGACTGTATTTTTTTTTGGGGGGGGATGAATGAATTCCTGTGCCCCACAAATAACCCAGAGATGCATTTTAAATAAAAGGACACATTCTACTCATGTGAAAACACGCTGATTCCCGGACCGTCTGCGGGCCGGATTGAGAAGGCAATTGGGCCAGATCTGGCCCCTGGGCCTTAGGTTGCCTACCCCTGCCATAGCCTTTGCCATTGCAATCCCAAAAGCCTTTGCACTGACCTTTGAGGCCTGTGGTGTGTTGGAGTTTGAGGAAGGAGGTTGTGTGAGAGAGTTGGGCATCAGGTAAGTGCTGGTGGTCTTTTAAAGGTTTTCCAGAGGTTTAAAGGGTGTCTGCAGAATTTTCCAATGGGTGCTTCAATGATACGCGATTCCATGTATGCACCTGGTGCCTTGGAACATAAGCCCTGCATAAATGGGTAGCTTAGAGATGTGGGTGGCGCTGTGGTCTAAACCACTGAGCCTAGGGCTTGCCGATCAGAAGGTCGGCGGTTCGAATCCCCGTGACGGGGTGACCTCCTGTTGCTCAGTCCCTGCTCCTGCCCACCTAGCAGTTTGAAAGCACGTCAAAGTGCAAGTAGATAAATAGGTACCACTCTGGCGGGAAGGTAAACGGCATTTCCGTGTGCTGCTCTGGTTCGCCAGAAGGGGCTTAGTCATGCTGGCCACATGAC